TTGCTTCGGACCAGGTTTCAGCTACTCGAATGGCGTACCAAGCAGTAAAGATCGAAAAAGACTTTCACGAAATTGTAGCATGGTCATATGGCTTCTGTCATAATTTTCCTTGTAAATCAAGTAGGCATTAACGCTGTGCTGGCTGCTACGAGAAAATTAGACAACAATAGTCAAGAGAAGCAAGTAATGCGACAGCAAAGAAAATACAAACCTTCTGTTCTGATTGTGACAAATTTTATTGTCTTGATTGTTTCAACAAGAAACACCATGCTACGCAATAAATAATTCGAACAATAGTAGAGAGAGAGCAGATAATGCATTACACATAACCTGCTACCTAAGGAAAAAGGAAAAGAAAGTGTTTTTCTAGGCATTTTTTTGTTAAAATATGGCGGGTCCCATCACTGAGACTCATCGACTCGAAAGGGTTAAGAGAAGCACCTGTGCATGCTATTCGTAGCATTCCAGGTCCTACAGACACCATGTAGGATGCTACAGACATCACCTGAAACGACATAGGCATCCCCTGGAATGCTATAGGTAGCATCTGGGACAGTGGAGACACCACCTGAGATGCTAAAGAGTCATCCTGGCATGCTACAGGCACCACCTGCAATGATATAGCTAGCAAGTTCAGGTAGCCCTCGAAAACTTACATTGAGCACCTGTATTAGAATTGAAAGTAGATCTTTTGAATTCTTTAAGCTATTTCTCACGATAAAAAGCATTTGAAGGTTATATATTCTGCAGTATATTCGATACCCCCTCTGGCACAGACAGTACGTTTTTTGGCACAAGTCTGGAGGCCAATATTTCCCCAAAAAATTCGAATTTACTGTTAACTTTACTTACGTCTTCAAAGATCGCTCTTTTATCTTCGTTCTGATACAATTTTGAAGACTTGTAGTAGACAGCTGCTGACGTAGCAGCTTGCATTGAGCATTACACCAGTGTTTAATAGTGCCAACTTGATCAAACCAAATTTCATACACAAAGTAGCCATCATTCTTTTGCCTAAACTTTTGTTGCAATGAACTTTGATGGACGTGAATCACTTGTTTTGACATGTAAGATTTTGATTATTCTTTTGTTTTTGAATCATAACGATAGAACCATGATTCGTCGTCAGCTATAATGTCGAACACACGATAGAATTGGCCTTGTTCAAATCTTTCCAGCGGATGGCGGAGAAATTGTACCCACCACTATTTTTGGACATCAATTAACTGACATGGCACACACCGAACACAAAATCTGCGTTTCTTCAAATAGTAATGAGTAATTGAATAAATTGATGATGAATTGACACTTAAGGTGTTTTCTATTTGTTCATATGTTGAACGAAGATCATTTTCAATTATTATTCGTACAGCATCAATCGTTTACTCATTGATAGATGTTCGTCGATGGTCTAGACGGGTAGTATTTTCAACATTAAAATTGTTTTGCTGAAGCTCATGAAATCAATTGGAAACTGTGCGGCCTGAAGGTGTTTGGCCCTCTCTTCCGTACTTGCTCTAAACGAGCATGTTTGTCTTTATGCTAAACCCATTTTTCAGTCGTATAAAATCATTGTGCGAAATTGTGTACATGGTAGTTGAAAATCTAGATCAAAAAGAACGTGAGAGTGATCTGAAAGAAATGAATAAAATAGAACAGTGCGTAAGACATGAAAATCTAAAATTTTCCATATATTCATAAATATGTCTGAGTGTTAAAATAGAATACTTGTCCTCAAATTACAGCTAGAAGAACTGGACGAGAAAAGTTTTGTAGTGGTACCCTATGTATTTTCCGAAAACTCGTTCACGGCATACTTGATTTAGGCAGATCAGATGTAGTATGATTCAAAGTCGAGCTCGATGTTGTTAAGAAAATATTTTTGTTCAATGAAGTTTGATTTAGAAAAGTATGATCAACAAGAAGGTTAATGTTCTTAGTACATTCTTATCATGTGTTATGCTTTCCTTCTCTCAGAATAAAATTAAAGGCAAATGTGAGGTCATTTTGAGGACACATATAACATTTATTTAAAGAAAACTAGAGTGAACCACATCAGTCGGGTGTATATCACCATATATATTACGAGGTATAACAAAAGAAGAAAAAAAATACGACAGAAATATAGAAAAGAAATAGCGTGAATAACAATGTAGATATCACACATAACACCATGTAACAAAATATCTGGACATGAAGATAATCTAGCTGTAGAATAAAAAACATTTGATGGTAAGTTATTAATGTTTAAATTCAAATTTTCACGAGAAGTTGAATGAGCAAGCGGTTGATACGACGAGTTTCTTATTAGTGTTGGTAGTGGTAAAAACTTTTCTTTTCTGATGACTCGAAAACCAAAAGGATATATGCCAAATTTGAGGAAATCATTAATACCGTGACTTGATAATAAAAAATTCTTAAACATTTTCGAAATCTAAAAATGATGACATATCTTTTTGGCATAATAAAAACTAAAAGTTACTAGTAAAGTAAATTGTGGTTTATCGATTGTTTTTGCATTTTTCGATGATTATATGTTTCCAACAGTTTTCTTCATATCATTATTAGTTTTGATCATGTTACAACATCGAGAGGTTGTAACAAAGTAGTTGAATAAAATGATAAGCATTCAATGTGAAGAGTGTGATCCAAAGTTATTTTTAATTATTGCTGTTGATATATAAGATCTACAAACATTCATAATGAGAAGAACTAGACGTTTAAATTTTGTACATATGTTACAAAATGATAGATAAAGTAATTGTTAAAGATTTCACCCTCAATCCGTCTAGATGTACTCACACGATAATGATCACTTGGATATCCGGTTTTTTGGACACCAAATGTGATAGAGTTCTAGTATCTTGCAAATTATAATAGAAGGCAAGAACTTAAATAGTTCGTCATGAGTATAAAGAAGTACAAGGCAATCAGTTTTTAGTAGTTACCTGCTTGTTGCTAATGTACAATAGAAGCACAACGGTCATAGACTTTCCACTTTTACTTTGAGATGATATAATATAACATATTGAGCACTTAACAGTTGCTTGACGACGACCTGGACCATTAGAAGACCTAGTCCCATCGATGTTCTAAATGAAGGTACGTCCATCAAATAGTTGTAGTTGGGTTAAAACAACATGCAGACGTTCAAACCATTTGGCTAAATATAAATTAAATCAGTAAACCAGATAAAGACAGCTTTTTTTTTCGCTTTAATGATAAGATAAGCTATTCTTTTAAAATAGAGCAAACTAATTTTTTCGAAGCTTTATTGCTCATCGTTAATCTAAAGAAAAGCACAAAGAATCTATTAATTACTTCTTTGATGCATGAATGAGAGAGAACACGCTCAAAGTTTCATGGAAGATGCAGTTTTCAATCTATCCTGCCATTTTGACATGAATGACTGAAACCACTCAATTAAACGAGCATCCGACGATCCATTTTTACCAAGCTCAATCATCGAAGTTCGAACCATATGAATTACACATTTTCGAATTAGTGGCTGTTCCCATTCTTGAAATAATTTGACAGCATACACCAAAAACTGTTCTTCATCATTTGATAATGTCGCAGAAGTAGATCTGTGGCAGTTTGCAATCGAGGAGCTGGTACTGGTAACCAGTTTTTTTCAAAAAATCTGAATTGTTGAAACAGAGTAGTTCTAGACGTGCTATAGCTTCGACTTCTATGAATGTGTTCTATTTTGGAAACTGGATATAATGACAAGCTCTTTTTTGAACCCCTGGAGCACATATCGAATTGAATTGCTACATTACCATCCTGAATGCACCGACTCCATACGAAAAGAGCTGGTCGCTAGACTCGATCCTCCAAAAAAACCTGTTTCTAGAACTGTAAGGTGTCATAGACCTAGCTACGATGTCTTGAAAATCTCAGGTACCGAGTTAAGTTTTACCTTGAAATATAAGTTTCCTCGCAAATCAATTTTTTTCTTTCGAGATATTCCGATGCATAATCTCTTCTAAGAATCACATGTCTCGACGTCAATATAACACATATTCCGTCAGACTTTTAGTATGTCGTTGCAAAACTGAAATCTTTTTCCATGGGAGAAGCTTCAGATCGAAATTGTAACACTCAACAGATTTTAAAATTGAAATAAAGTTTAATAAATTTGATTTTTCATTCTGATGACGCGAATGAAATTTATTCTTGTCAGGAAAACCATAATGATTGTTCTTATAAACGCTTTTGTTCAACACCATTACATAGAAATATTCTCGTCGAGTTTGTCTAGACAACAGTCGAACATGAAATATAAACATTGATTGACGACTGAAAGTAAGGTATCCCATTGTAGTACTATTACATAATAGATCACTATCCGTATTCATTAGAAAAATTTATATATAAAACAATATTTGTATACTCATCATTTGACAAGATAATTAAGACATTTTCAAATTGTCATTAAAGAACGATACGAATGTATTTATTTATCTATAAAAACAAGTTTTTTATCTTATAAAGTTATTAAAAACGAAAATTTTGATTCAATCGATGCGCACTGTTGTAAATCTTGATGAAGTATAATCTTATAGGCGAGTAACAATCTAAAACTAAAAGTTGCACAAGTAAACATTCGATATCGTCATCAATTGAAGTGAATACTTCGATATTTGATCAGTCACTCGAGAGTTGAACAAGTTGAAGTAGTAAGTCTCACATATGGAATATGCTGATTGTCTTACATAAAACTCATCTTTTGACATGAACCAGTTGCCTACTGTATCATGTGTAATTTATTTTATAGAATAGAATTATATATGAGAACAATAAGATAAACAATGAAATAAAAATGACAACTAGGATAGAAATCAACTATTGAAGTATATTAGAAAAGAAAAAATCAAAACAAGAATAAACGATAATGAGAAAAAATAAATAATTACGACAATGCGAAGATCAACATCGATTTGGTTTTTTTTTTGAGAATATTGAAATGAACATAAGAACGAAATTCATAAGAAAATTTAAGGACAAATATTCGACCATTCATCACATCGATTTAATAATGAATTGAATTTTGTTTTTGATGGACATTTCATTATAAAAGGAATATTATTTGAACATAATATATATTGTCTACAATCATATAAATCAGCAAATATTCCATTCGCTTTTTGACATTGAAATCCTATTAAAAAATTCAAAAGCTAGTTTCATTTCGATAATTCTAGATATAATATATGATTACTTTTATCCGATTGTCTCGATAATGATTTTTGAGTTTGTTCTATTGATTTTGCCATTGAATTGAACATTGATTTAGAAGAACAATCCTATTTTTATAATATTAAAACATATTAGATATTTAAAAAGAATATTTTCTATTCAAATTCAAAAAAATATTTCGATAACAATATCTTACTTTTGATTTATGGTTTAAAAAAAAATTCTTTTTATTTAATAACGTGTACAAGAGGGAGAGAGTTAATATTCGATTATTTCTATTTTTTTTTGCAAATATATCGTTATTTTTGTAATTATTTAACAAAAAGAATAAGAATTTTGTGTCAATGCAAAATCAAATACAAGAGAAAATATAATAGTTTTTATCAATAATCGTATTTAAAATTCTAATTATTAATTTAATCAAGTAAACTCTTATTTATTTAAATAAATCTATGATAATAAAACATATTTATTTGATATTTGTCAGAGAATTATAAAAATAAAATGAAATTTTAGTTAAAAATAGTAAATATAGGTATATATTAAACTTACAGAATTTTGATGTGTACATGCTTTTTCTTTCATTGAAAAAAACATATTTTGAGGACATTGTAAATGTGATATAGGTTTACTATTATTTGATTGACATACATAATAATAACGACAATCAATCTTATCTTCTATTAATTGTTCTGTTTTAACGCCTGAACATAAATTATTTATTACTGTGGAACGTATTTTTGTTGTTTCATATTGATTATTCAATGTTATTGTTGCTGTTGTTGTTGTTGGTTTAATATATGATTTTGATTGTGAAAATATTCGAGATACAACTGAACTTATCGGATATGCACCAAGATTACATGATAAACCGATATAATCATCCATATCAATATGATGTATAAGTACACCACCTATTTGAGAATTTATTATAAAATTTGATTTATATTCGACGGTACCATTAATAACAATATGATTTTTTAATTGAAATGGTTGTGTATCATCATATATAATCAAATTATTTTTATGATGTGCCATAACTAAAAAAGTTTTATTATCGAAAAATCTTCGATAATTTTCTTGTTTAATTAAATGGCAAATCTAAATTAACAAAGAAAAAAAATTTTTTTAATTTATATTGAAAAAAAAAAACGTTTGAAATGAAAAATTCAACCTCATAAGCAGCAAGTATTCCTTTTCTATGTGTAATACGGCCTGGAAGACCTTGTTCTAATATATGATCATTAATATTATATTTGATATGATCTTCTAATACAAACGATAGACCATATGTTGGAATACTCATTATTATTTTATCTTTTGATACACCATATGAAAGAATTCGAGTAAGAATTGAATTCTATATTTAAAAAAAGATTTTTAATTAAGATCAAAGAAAATGTTTTCATCAAACCATTGAAAAATAAGTTAAATTATATTGACTAGTAGAATAAAGACTATTCCATGGTTTGATTTCTTGAAAATTTTTTGTTGATTTATCATCAAATGGAAGTATAATAATATAATCAACTAAACTAAATTAAAATTATAAACAAATAAATTCTTAAAAATTTTTTGTTTTATTTTTTTATTTTAACAAACTTATTTAATTGAATTAAATTGGAATATTCATATAAAAAAGAATTATTTGTTTCAATTTCAAATGATATTGTTAATAAATATTTATTCGATAATTTTGATCTTATTATCTAAAAGAAAATAAAAAAAAAATCAATTTGATTTTTTTTGTTTTTAAATAATTCTTATACATGAATTTGTTCGATAATATCATTTGAAAATTTCTTCAAATAAATATTAAAACCATAAATTTGTTTAATTCTAAAATTATATATTAATTGATCAATAATAAAAAAATCATTTAAACTAATTGTAAGAAGAATTTTAAATTGATTATATGTTGATGTTGATAAAAGAGAATTATTATAATCAATTAATAAATAATTACAAAGATCGACTTTTATTTTATCCAATGTAAAACGTATTAAACCATAATATGCTTCTGTATTCGAACTTATAGAACAAAATATTTGTTTTTTTGAAGATTTTTCTTTTAAATCATTTATATTGTTGAAATTCTTTTCAGCTAAAATTTCAATAAAAAATTTAAAAAAAGAAGCTTAAATAAAATGGAAACTCATACAAGATTGTTTATTAGAATTGAAATCTAAAAGATTAGAAATCGTATTTAATATTGGATAAGAACCTTTTCCACATAATCCATAAATATCATCGATATCTAACCATGATAATGTTATACCGAATAAACCTTCCAATTTAACAAAACGAACCTTTTAACAAAAAGACGAAAGTATTATTTACTAAAAAGAATATTTTGACAAAATCTATCATATATCATAACCTCTTATAATTATTAAATAAAATAAAAATCTTTCCTAAAAATTCAACATTATTATAGTGAACAAAAGTTGTCCTTCTAGTGGAATATTATCAAATGAAATGATAAAAAATAAAAACTTTTTTATTATATAAAATCTTCTATTAGATTATTATAATAAACATTATAGAAATTGAGCATAAGTTTGATCATCTTGATAAATTCTATTGTTAATAGAATGTAAAAGTTTGATGGATAACATCCGATGGTAAAGAGTTTCATTCAAGTTTTATTAGCGAAATTAAAGATTGATAAAATACTCGCTTTTTCATAGTTTATTTCATATTGACAAAGTACCAAAAATTTTCGATCGATACCAGATTGGATGAGATCGACGATGAATCTATTTTGTCAAGTCGATTATTCGTTTTTGAATTGACTTCAAATTTCTAGGTGTCTTTTTTGACAATAAATTACACTTGTAAAAATGATACACTCGTTGAACATCTATTGTTCTGCTTAAAATAGACGATACGATCGAACTGTTGACTTTTATAGAATGATTGATCGTTGACATGATTTTATTTTTTTCCTCTCAAATTCCAAAGCAATCCTTTGACAAAATTCATACGAATGTTAACCTCCTAAAAAAAGATTGCTTAACTCAAGTTCATTACTTTGTTACGTCGAACCTATTTTAAATGATTTTATTGATATTAGTTGGTAAGTAACGGCTTCAACTAGATCGAGTTGAATCAGTCAAGTTTTTTTGACTGATTCCATCAATTGAGAGAATAATTCATCATCATCATCATTACATAATAATGGATTGCTTTCGCTACAAATGCATGGTTGAGTTTTGAACCCGACGAATTTGGAGATATAAAAAATCATTTTCATATTGGTGGTACAATGGCAAAAGTGTATGTCAGAGCTAGTGACTAACAACAAGACTGAATGAATGAACAGTGGTTAAAATTAGCAGATGGCTATAGCGTCTTATTTATATGAATCTTATGAAAACTTCTACAATTTCTATAAAATTCTACTAGAGGCAAGACTTTTGTTCACTATTGTAGAATTTCAAATATAGATCGATTTTGTTTTCTAAGTAAATATTTGTACGGAATTCGATAAAAACTAAAAATATTCTTATTCAATTAAGATTATCAAATTTTGTCAAAGCATTATTCGTCAAATAAAGAGTTTTGTGAAAATAACCATTTAAAAGACTACAATCTCGATGATTTTTATAGAGAATTTCTCCTCAAAAAATTCAACTTTTCAAATAAATTCAAGTATTTTTTGTTTTTTTAAAAATCTCTGGGAGATTCTCAATGAATGAATTGAGTAGTGTCTTTTTTTGGTATTAAAAGGAAATATTTACCTTGATTTGTATATCATCGATTGTATCAAAACTTATCAATTGTTTTGTTTTAAAATTAAATAAATATGATGAAGAAGTTTTATTATCATATTCTTGAATAAAATCCTTAGTTTTTAATAATTTACAAATCTAAAATAATTAAATACTTAATTAAAATAAAATAAAAAACTAAACAAACATGTGAATAAGGCAAGATTTTTGATGAATCAATTCTCGATGAACGAATCAAATATTGATTTTGATAAATAAATTCAAATAAACGTCCATATGTTTGTATAGAAACACTTATTTGTTTAGAAGATACACCAAGAATTTTAATATAATTAATAAGCCAATTCTATAATGGAAAATAAAATAATTTTTATATTTAAATCACTATCGAATTTACAATATAATTAAATTGATAATTATATCGTTGATTTTCCAATGAATTAACTCGATTAGTTAAACTTGTCTCATTTATTCTTGTCCAATCAAAAGCCATTAAACGAATAAAATCAACCATTCTTAAATAATTTTCATTTAAAAAAAAAAACGAAAAATGATAAAAATAATTTACTTTGATATTATATTAAAATCATAATAACTATCAATAATGTGTTTTTCTCCACTTATACCAATTGATAGAGAATATTTATTTGCAACAAATAAATATCGTAATTCCTATTTAAAAAAAATGTTTTGTTTTTGTTTTTAATAAAAAGAAAAGTTTCATATTAACATACTAAAAGCCACGTTGATAAAAGATGTTTGTCTGTTAATGAAGGTATTTGATCAACTTGTATATTCCAATCAATATCTATTATTTAAGAAAATGAAAATTTTTAATTTATTAACAAAACAAATTTTTTTCCAAAACAAACCAAGTCCATCGAAAGTATAATTAGTTAAATATTGTTCCATTTTTTTATTTAATTTTTGTCTTTGTTGATCATTACGAAGTAAATCAAAATGTTTCGAGTTCCATTGACCAAGTATTGAATAAAAGATTTTTAAATTTTCATTTTTTCTTTTCATTACTTTCAATTGTTTAACTAAAAAACATATATTTTTATTAAAAGAAAAACCAAAGTATCTTATAAAAACAGACGAATATCTAATGAAAGTGTTGATTGAAATAAGTCGATATCTATTGATAATAAATCTCTTTCAATTATAATTAAATGTGAACATAGATTGATATTGACACTATTGAATAAAACTGGATTGATTCTTGTCATACAAACAATTGATTGCGATAATACTAAATATCAATATTTACACACTTTTCAAATCAAATCGATCTTTTCTTCAAAAACTTTTTCATGGTTGATCCTGATCAGGAAAAAGCTTGTTTGATTCCGATCTCTATCAAGATCCCTGCCATTTCTTTCTTATTAATTATGCTTGTGGCACTTTTCAATTTTTCGGCTATTGATCACCGTCTGAACAAAACTTTTTTAGAATGGTTTTTCCAGTTGACTATTAAGATGTTTCTTTTGATCATCTGTCGTCATTTTACTTTTTCAATTACTAAAATGTACAAGATAGTTCGCTGAAAATCATAGAACATTTAACTAGAATGTTTAGTTCCAGTTTAGAGAAGTTTCTTTTTCTCTGATGACTCAAATCTCGATTTGATTTAATACATTTCTATGAAAAACATACGAAGACTAGCCTTTTCTTGAACGTTTAACAATATTTCTGAATAAGGAAATAGTTCAGTCAAAACTATACCGTATCAATTTCATCATGGATTAGTTACATTTCGAAAAAAAATTTGAAAAACCTCTATAATAAAATATATTTACTATTTATAGGTGATGATCTTGTTAACCATGAAGTCCAAGAAGATAATGTATTCGATTGTAATGGAAGAGTAAATTTAGTCATTTTTATTGTAGAATATGTTCTAGAAGTTGATGTTGGACGAGTAGATATATAAATTGGTTGAATTTGACCTGTTCGAATAATATTAGCCACAGCATTCATCAATGGATATCGACCATTATTACAAAATTTTCCCGAAAAATCATCAAGATCGGCTGCCCATATCATAACACCACCAAGATTTTGTTCAATAACATAATTAGCCTAGAAAGAATATTTCGTAACAAAATAAATAAGTATACAGAGTGTTTAAAAAATCTCTTCCTAACAGTTTTTTTGTATATCTTTACTATTTGATTTAATATTAATCAACTATTATTTTTTAAACAATAGGTGGATCCACCAAATTTTTATTTATATGAACAAATTTCACAAGTATTGTTCAAAGCTAGAGCCTATAAAGTTTTTCATTTCAAACTATACTTTCAAAAAAACAATCACATCCGCTTTTTGTCCACAGCCGAGATTTAGGGCACCTAGCAAAAAAAGTTTCTTAATCGGTACATGACGATGGCGAGGAGAGAGAGAGAGTTGAGTTTACTACAAATAAAGGATATCACACATTCTATTCATTCATACCTAACGATATCATTATTTATTTTACGAAGAGTTTCGAATAAGTCATGACTATACATACATCTGCAGACTCATTATACCCTCGATTTTATCGACGGTAGGTCTACGAGCTCTTTAGAATTATTTGTTACTATATGTACCTAAAGGCCTCCTACACCCATCATCGAAAAAAAAATCGGGGTATATTAGTATATATGACACTAGATAATTCTAAAAACTTATAAGACTCCGTTTTTATTTGAAAATGAATGTTGTTTTTTCTTCTTCAAATTCAGATTGAAACAAAATAGACCATTGTATGCAAAGCTATCAACTTTAACTGAGATACAAAAATTCAGTCTTTTTTTCTGTTTCCAAAAAATAAATATTCTGAAACGTTTCTCTTTTCAATTGCCTCATTTTCTGCTATTGTTCTCATCTTTAATAGTCGCTTGATAGACATGTAGACATTGCATACCACACCGTAAGCTTTGGTGAGTTCATTGTAACTTTCACAGTGATAAAAGAGTTATTTTGAGTCCAAATACGACATTTGTGTTTATTAACCATACGTAAAACTTGAAAGAGTTGCTTCATCAAAAAAATGATCAGACCATCATAGTTTTGAATACTATCGAGAGACAACAAGATTTCGATCATATCAATACGTAAATACATGTCTTCGTCGTATATTTGTTATATTATTTGCATATTATATCGTTTCTATACCAATACTTGACACATGGTTCGGTGCAGAATCGATTTTTTGAAATCTTTCACTTCTTCAGAAACACAACGAATGCTGTTGATTGGAGTTATTTGATAAGACATCAGCAGTTTTCTCTAGTTTTTCGGCTGTTGCTGATAACGGTCTTCCTGACCGTTCATGATCATGGATCGAATCAGCTTTGATACTTCTTTTTGTAGGAATATAAAGCAAATTTTTGCGTTGAAAATGTCGCGTGACTGACGATGAAGACTCCAATTTAGTCACCATGAGAACAATTTTAATTCTTAACCGTGTATTGATCGACATTTTGTTGTATTTGAAGCGCAAACATCTATGATTAGTTACTTATGACTCAAAAAAAGACAAACTACTATCTACACTGATCAACTCCTTATACAGAATATTTTTTAGTATACAGATAGAGTAATAATTATATTGACTCTACAATCACCCGACTCAGTACCATTGAGTTTCTTTTTATGAAGATATGTCAAAACAAATATCTACAAAAAACGACTATAAAAGATCTGGACGATTTAATGATCAGAATAGTTGACAAATTGAAGCAATGAAAAACAAAGAAATGTTGCATGATATTTTTCTGGAAATAGAAAAAAAGATTGCATTTTTCTATTTCAGTTAAAGGTGATAGCTTTAAATAGTACTTCTGAAGTTTGTTCATATAAAATAAAAATTCTATGTATTCACCTATCATTTACAAAAAGTAATTGATAAAATTAAATCAAATAGTAAATATATACGAAAAAACTTTTAGGAAGACACTTTTGAGACAGTCGGTATATCGAAATACAACATACACGAATAGATATTGTTTGAATATTATCATAAGAGACCCAAGTATCTTCATCATAAGCATACATTGATTTTTGTATATCATCATACTCACTTATCCATTGGCCACTATTTAATTTTTCACAAATCTAAAATGAATATTAAAATAATGAATAAATCTTCGATATTTTATAGTTTAACTTCATAATAAGCGATAAATCCATATTCTCTTGTATATTTTCCACGTTCACCTGGACCTGTACTTAGTAAACGAATTCCTCTATTTAAATTATTAAACAATTTAAATGTTCGTCCATATGTTGCTAAACCCATGGAAATTTTTTCTTTAGGCATTCCTTGTTTAATCCAATAATTAACTGACCAATTCTTAAATAAATAAAATTATAATTTGATTAAATAGAATTGAAAAATGTTCATCTGACTTGATTAAGTGTCATTTGATATTGATCTTCTTGTGGATGTGCATATAAGGCAGTATGATGACCAGTCATATTTTTCGATCCGCTCTCATGAAGATTATATGTCATTAAATTAATAAAGTCAACATACTTAGCTATTTTATCTATTTCATAAGCTGTTTCAATTGTTGACTTTTCAGCAGCAACAGTTGCTGTTAATAACAAATTATAAGGTTCAAAAGCCTCTTTTAATTCCTAACAAACACATCATCAATTCTATTCAAGAAATATTTATTTTCGGAAAAAACAACAAACTTTGACTAAACTAGTGAATAATTGTTTATCTTGCGATCGACTACCTAATCGATTTACAGGATATTCCTATGAATAAAAATAAAAATTTAATTATCTTATTACTGATTTGTACCCAATCAAGATTAAGACCATCAAATTGATGATCACGTATAAATAATGTTGCTTGATAAACAAATACTTTTCGTAATTGTTCATTTTCGACCATATGAGAAAAATCAGCTGAACCGAAATTCGGTCCACTCACACCAAGTAATATTTTTATATTATGTGTTTTTTTTAATGCCAAAACTCGTGAATACATGCCTAGATTAAATTATAAATAAATAAATTTATAGAAATGAAAATAAACCGAAAAATAATCCAAGCCCACCTCCTTACTATGTGTTCTGGGTGATGCCAACACACTTCTGCAAATCTCTCGTGATATACACAACAAAAAGTTTTGATACCTCGCCCAGAAGTAGGACACTGGGGCATGTGCCTTAAACAAGGTCTGAAGATGGAGTTCATATGCAAATGTCTGGTGGTCGATTAAATTCAGGTGTCCGTAAATCGATCGGGATTAACTCAAACAAGATACGGTTGCTAACAGTGAAATAACCATGTATGGCTAGCAATGGTTTCACCAACTGTCCTAGTATGTATGGGAGTTGGTACCATACGTCAGCGGCATTTTTAGTAGAAATGAACATCGGAATTGACAACATCAATGCAAAATGGAAATTGATACATGGAATATGACATCACTCACTGGCAAAGAACCAGAACTGATTGAGGAAGCTCAAACGTATCGATTAGATATAGTTAGAATTTCATCAATCAAGTCGAAAGGCAATAGAATACTGGTTATGAATAATGGACAGCAATTATTCTATTCTGATGTTGATCCATCAATTCATACCCAAGCAGAAGTGTCAATATCCTTAAATCCTCGACTAACCAATTACAGTCCTCGAATGAAAATCAGTTAATGGAAAATTCGCTTGTATAAGATTGCAGCTGATGAAGAAAATACTAGTGGCGCATACAAGTGGATGCGCGTAACATGAAATCGAATATGCGACACTGCTTCATGAAATCTTCGAAACTATGGAAGGTGTTCATGCGACACATTCTATAGTACTGACCGGAGACTTTAATACACACATTAGCAGCGATTCACAAGCGTAGAATGATGTAAGCGAACAAAATCATGATAAAGATCTCAACACATAAGGCAAACAACTACTGGATGTTTGCATAAATGGGGGTCTATCAATAGTGAACACATTTTTTCAACACAAGAACATTCACAAGTATATATGGCATAAAACAGTAGATTCTATGGCTCAACAATCATTAACTGACTTTATTATCGTATCGAACGACTAACGACGAGTCATGGTGTATGTTCGAGTAAAACGAGGCACCGAACTGATAACCGACCATTATATGATGGTTTATGGACTGATGAAGAGACCTACCTAAATCTTATGAAAAAAGTCGAATAACAATTCTTTCAAATACTACAGGACGAGATCGACATTAAATCCAAGTGATTCTTATTCCGTATGGCAGCGCTAGACGTTGGAACAGAAACATGTGAAACTAAACGTGTTGGACAGCAAAAAAAAGCCCAAAGAAAACTGCATGATGTACTGAGAAAGTTCGTATGACTATTTCTGACAAGAAAGTGGCGTATCGTATATGGATTCAACGCCAAACAGTGGAAAACTGACAGCGATATAAGTAACTACGAGACAATGCGAGGAAATTTGTAGCTGAAGTAAAAACAACTTCTTGGGACAATTTCGAACACCATCTAGAATTCAACTATTATTTGACTAGCAAAGTATTTTAGCAGACCATTCGTCAATTTTGTAAGGATGGATCTGCCCGTACTCATTCCATAATAGATACTGCTCGTCAACTCTGGACATGTGAAGACTTATATGTTCAATAGATCGAAGGAACAGTAAGCGAATCAATATTGAATGGAACCGATGATATCTCTTTCACAGAAGTTGTGAGAGCCATTAAATCATTCAAATCTGATAAAATTGCTGGGATAAACGAAATAAGACCGGAGATGCTAAAATTGCTCAACTCTAGTAGATTACATTGGGTCACTTGCATTTGTTGTGTGGCTTAGAAAACTGGAAAATCTCTCATGAACAAGGAGGCTGCGATCATTATTCCCATTTTCCAAAAAAGAAGATCAAAGAAGTGTTCTAACTACAGAGGCATTTCTCTATCCAGCCTAGTCGATAAAGTCTACACGATAGTGCTAGAATGAAGTTGTTAAGAGATAGTCAAACAATATATTCAAGATGCACAATGTAGGTTTCGCACGAGAAAAGAACCAACGGATCAAATTTTCATATTGCATCAAATATTTGAAAAATCCTGGGCGTTTGATAGAGCTCCACAGGGCTTGCTCTGAAGAATGTTTGGTGAATATAGCATTCATGATCGCCTCTTATCTGTAATTCAGTCTTTGCACAACGATTGTAAAAGCTGTATTCATATAAATGGTAAGAAGTCAGATTAGTTCCGAGTACACGTTGGATTAGGATAAGGCTGTGTTTTAACACTATTGCTATTTATAATTTTCATCAGCAAGATATCTCGGAAAAGTACCAGCCTGAATTGCATCAAAACCGATAGTATCAAGATGGATTCTCTTCTTTTTGCTCATGATGTCGCTTGTCTGGTAACAACGACTGATGGACTACAAAGGGCTCTCGAACGGTTTGTAAAATAGTATTCCTCGTCAGACATGAAGATCAATGTGAAGAAAACTCAAATAATGGTTCTTTCAAGAAACCTGAACAGCTCATCCTTCGTGTAAATGACGCTCCGTTGAGTCAGGTTGACCTGTTCAAGTATCTGAAGGTACAATTCTCAAATGATAGAAATCAAGACGGCGAAATTGATTGACGAACTAGTGCGATTAACGGCATTCTACGTTTGCTCTATCAGGCAGAATTGAGCAAGACGATAAAACCTACAATCTTCGAATCGATATATCGACCTAGCCTCATCTTTAACAACAAACAATGGGTAATAACTGAGAAAATTCGATCTTGAATACAAGTGACTGAAATGAAACTCTTACGGAGAGCAGCTGGTCAGACACTACAAGACAAAATGCGCAGTTCGCATGTGCGAGAGCCTCTACGATTCGAATCTCTACTTCTTCATTTTGAACAATGAGGAAAAAGGCTAGTTGGTTCAAATATCTCGAGAAAATCTGACATGAATACTGAGAATTTGAATAGACCACAATGTAACATGCAGCGAAAGATACAAATAGTTGGAAATCACTACTAAATGGCTTGAACCTCGACTAGAAAGAGTAAGGAGAAAGAAAATGAACGAAAACAAACCTTTGTTCGATTGAGTATCTTCATCGTTCAATTGAAATGGAGCAAGTTTTGAATTTTTTAATATAGCAGAGGCATAAATAATATGTGTACATAATGAGCCATCAAGATCCTCAGGATAAAATTTTCCTTGATCAGGACGATATTGTGCCCAACTAATAAAAGTAAATATTCAATTTTTTTCTTTAAAGAAAATTTATTTTGATATACTTTGTATAATAACAAACAATACGTTTTTTTTCTTGAAATGAACTTTTTGTTGAATTTATTTTTATTGATGATATTGTTGGTTGAATTTGAGAACGAATAAGACTGACAGCTTTATTCATTAGAGGATATTTTCCTTCATTACATACACTACCAGTAAAATCATCAAGATCTGCTGCCCAAAACATAATTCCAGCTAAACCCATTTCTTGAACGTATTGAATCTATTGAAATAAATAAATAATTTTCATTTGAATCAATATATTTATTTGAAAAAAAGAAAACCTTATAACCAATTGAATAAAGATCATCATATCCAACCCATTGTTCATCTTTATAAGCATAATTTGTTTTTTGTTCTTCGTCAAATATTTTAGTCCAACCTTGTTGTTTAACACGAGTACATATTTCATAATAAGCTAAAAATCCTTGTTCATTTGTATATAAACCAGCATTGCCTTAAATGAATTTATTTAAGAAATTTAAAAAAATAATATTGAATATAAAAACCTGGTCCAACAGCTGGTGCACCAATGTAATTCTTAGATGGACTAGCTAATCGAAATGTTCGACCATAAAGTGCTAAGCCCATAACAATTTTCGATGGAGAACAACCATTATTTATCCAATAACGAACGGACCAATCTTGTGTCAATTGTTTATCTAATTGATTATCATTTTGACGACTATATAATGGAATATGAATACCAGTTTTTGTTTCCCATGAGCTTTAATTTTACAAAAAAAAAAAATCTTAATTCAAAATTAATGAAAAAGAAAACTAAAAGCATTCTAACCCATGTAAATCATAGGACATTAAATTAACAATATCAAGAATTTGACAAACTTGAGAAATTTCATAAGCAGCATCAATCGTTGGTTTTCCAGCACCCACAGCTGCTGTTAACAAAAAATGGAATGGACGAAAAGCTTCTTTAAGTTCAATTAATAAATTGCTAAAATGTTGTTTATCAGATGGTCTTGAACCTTCACGTGAACCCGGATATTCCTTTAATAAAATCTAATTGAATAAAATACGAATTTTCTTTAAATATTTACCCAATCAAGATCAAGTCCATCAAATTGATGCTTTTCTAAAAAACGAATTGTTGCTCTAATGAAATTTGTTCGTTGTGTTTCATTATGAACCATATTAGAGAAAGGGTGACTTCCATGATTCCATCCACCAAGTCCAAGTAAAACTTTTAATTTATTTGATTTACGTAAATTGATGATTCTTTGATACATGCCTACTGACCATGGAGTACTTTCATCATTCCATTCATATGGAACTATACGATCATTATCAAGTTTTGCAAATGCATATACTATATGAGTACAAAGATTTACATCAAGATTTTCAGGATAAAAACGACCTGGACCATGACGATATTGTGACCAATTGGTATAATAACAAACAATAAGAGGTTCTAAAAAATAAAAATGATAAAAATATTTTCAATATTAAAGAAAAAAATAATTTAAAAAAAAAACCAGTGGTTTTTGAATTTGTTTTATATTGAAATACTTGAGGATGGTGATTTTCTTCATAGGATAAGATTTGTGTCTGAATATTAATTGAATTAAATAGTTTTAACGATTGAATTGAATTATCTTCTTTTGGTAAATTCCATAAAATTTTATTAAAATCAATTTTAATACAATAAATATAATTGAAATATTTAAATTTGATTGAACAATATTTATCGTCAACCTGAAATATAAATATCAATTAAATATATAATTTGTCAATTTTTTTTTTTCTATTAAAATAAAAATAAAAATACATATTCAGTTGTTGACATAATAGAATTGATAATAAGAGTAAGATTTTCTTTTGTATGAATTCTCGTAAAATAAATACTATCAAAGTTAGATTCATATATATTAAATATATCTGTTAAATTTTCATAAATAAGATTTATTTGATTAGATTTTTTATCGATTAAATCCTTATTAATTTTATTGTTAATATATTCATCTAATATAATTAGAATTTTTTCAATAAAATATTTTTTTATTGATATCATTTCATTATCTATTAGAAAAATAAAAAAGAACAAATAATTCAATAGAATTTATTTTCAGTTTTTCTTTTATTTACTTGACATCGATGTTGAATATTGAATAGAAATCGATTGAGAGTGTTTTAAATGTAAAAAATCAGTTACAATATCATGAAAAACAATTGAAATATTTTTCGTTTCAATATCAATATTTAATTTTGAAATATTGATCATTATTCTATTAATAGAATTAAACTGGAAAGTTTTCTTCATTTGAATTGAAGAATTGAGATTTGTTTGATTATTTGAATATAGAATTAAATCTGAATAAAGAGGATTGATTTTTCTTTTAACAATTGATTTTGATTCAATAGATTCTTGTTGATTTCTAATGAAATTATTTGATGTATGATAATTAGTTTCTCAAAAAAAAAAAAATAATAAAGAATTAAATTAATTTCAATAAATAATTAATAAATAAATGCATACTTTGTTTTTTTATATAATTTCGTTCTAAAATTTGTCGATTAATTAATGAATCAGTAGATAGAGGTCTTTTTATATTCCTTCCTAAATTAAACAATAAACATATAATAGTAATTTAATTTTAAGATTAACCTGTTTTTTCATATGGAATAGTTGAATTTTTTATCACATGTCTTTTGTCAATATTATTTTGAGAAAAAAATGAAGATGAACTTTGAATATAATGATCATGACCATTTATTGAAATATTCAATAAAAAGAATAAAACTAAGCTAAAAAGAATATTTTTTGATTTTTTTGATTAATAATTAAATAGTAATAAAAAAATTTCGATTTACATGTGAGAAAAGTTTTGCAACATTTGTATGAAATTGATAACAAAAATCCAAGTTTATTTCTATCAGTATAATTTTATTTAAAAGGCAATCAATCAATTCAATAAAAATAATGTGCATATAAATATTGTCATTGATGTCTTTTTTTTCGTTTTTATCTCTTTAATAAAACAATGTTGAGAGCGTAACAAAGATAACAATCATCAAGAATCTTATTAGATCAGATTTGAATAGAAACAAAGAGTAAATCAAGTGTATCGTCGATCTATTGAAATGGGTCATGGACAACCGATAAATTCAATGATTATACTCACTATTCACCAAAGACAAGTCAAGTTTATTTCGAATGCCTTCACAAATTATGTCAATGTCTCAATACATTACCAAGTTTAACAACGTATATATGAAGAACCTTCACAGATATATGCATTTCATTTTTTCATATTCAATATCAATCACAATTATAATCCCCTATATCCATAAATCTCTCGACACTTCTAGAAATATCTATCGAGCTAAATCAATACTCTCAAAATCATATTGTTCTTAAGAAAATCATTGTTTACTTTTTTTAGAAGTCTTTATTTTTTTCTCTAATCTATCTATAATGTATAGATAGATTTATTTATTTGATTTATGTTTATAATGATATGTGAAAGAGAAATAATGTTGTTTTGATAAAGAACTTTAAATTTTGATAAATCTTCTCTAGATAGTGTTGTTCGATCTAGTGTAAATATATAGTACAATTTGTAAGATTAATTAAGTGAAGCTCATTGGCAGTTAAGCGCAATTCGTTATAGAATTTAGGATTTTCAATCGACAATAATCTTTATTGAGTTTTAACAAAATTATTTATTCATCTGTTATATTTCTTAGTTAAAAATAAATATAACATATAGATGTTTGTTTATCTGAAAATTTCTGAATATATCTATGATATTAATTAATTAATTAATAAAACAATTTAAAAAAAAAATAAAATGATTGTCTTTGAATATATTTAATTAATTGGATAAATGACAGAAAGATCAGATAAAATGAAATATTTATTTAAGATTTGAAAAATAATTCGATGAATATATTTGCTTATTTATTTATTATTGATGAATATAATCTATAGAATAAATAATGATCAACATCGAATAATAAAATAAAAGATGAAGAGAATCAAATTCGAATAAATTATCTTTTGTTTTTTTTTTTTAATATTAACTTCAAATTAAATTATGTTTATTATTAATAATATGATTTTCCTATTGAATTTTTAATTTGATCAATTAATTTTGATTTATTTTAACAAATTGAAATAATAATTTTATAGAAATTATTTCATTGAAATAGTACAAAACAAAATCAATTGAATGAAACCGAGTAAATCGATATAGAGAAATTTATTATCGAAAATAATATTTTGAGAGAAATAAATATGATTTTTTTAATCCAATTTGAGGTTAGTTTAGAAATAGGTTTTTTTTTGTTTTATTTCTTTTTATTTAAATGAGATAATCAATCGAGAATTAAATCACAATTCATAGAAATCTATGAGATTTTAGAAAAAATTTATTCATTGTTCATTAGATAAACAATTCGAAACTTTTTTTTTTTGATAGTTTCAATCATTGTCACTGATAACAATTTCTCTACTATAAAATAATCTTTTTTCTTAATAGAATTCGATTGAAACTGAAATAATCATAGAATTTAGAAAACTTTATCAATTAGTTTATCCATAACGTGTCTATTTTACACGAAGATATATCATTATCTTATTAAATTCATTTTAGTTATTATTCATTTATATTTATGATTTAAATAAATAAACAAATAGAAAAAACAAAGAAAAAAAGAACTTGTTTGAATATTGAATAAGATCAATCAATTAAATATTAGAAATGTTATGATTTAAAAAGAAACAGAGGTAAAAATTAAGATCTTTATCAATTTATTTCCTTGGACATATGTCAGAATATAACATTGAAAAGTTTCTTCACATTTCTTAAAGATTCAATATTTAAAAGTATAAATAAATTTAATAAATGTTCAACTAATCATTGTTATCAAATAAAAATACACATGAATATTTCAAGATCATTTAATATATTCTCAAACAATATTTAAACACTGAATGATTAAGAAATAATTGAAAACTAATAGAAGTTTTATTTATTTATTTATTTATTTATCGAAAACGAATATATAACATGATTATTGTTTTATTTAATTGACTTTATAGACAAAATTCATTTTGAAATAATATTTAAAGTTAACAATTTCTAGAGATTTGACTGTTGATAGTGCATTATTTTATAATTGAATATACAATCATTCGATAATAATGAAAATATTTCTGTTGATCATTAGTTTGTTTTTTTCTTATTATATTTATTCAAAAATCTAAACACGAGGATAAACATGTTATTCATGATTTATTTGGTGATTTATATTAAAATGATATTATTTATTATGGATTTAATGAAATAATAAATAAATAAAATATTGATGATGATGGAAACCGTCGGAAAAGTAAATATTATATTCTAATATTAATTAATAATTCTTAAAATAATATTGGTTTTATCTCATCTATTAATTATCTAAATAAAACAATATTAATTATAATTAATGGTAGAACTGATTTTATTTTTCATAGATTTAATTCAATTGATAAATATATTATTTATTTTCAATATTATATATTTAACAAAAAACAAATCATTTCTACTTATCGTAACTAATTATGAAAATTGAACACCATTTTAAAGAAATAGACAGAATTAATCGAACTTTTAAATAAATTGTAGATAAAATATACCGAACTAAATCAATTGAAATATAAAGTTCTTGTCGTATTTGCAGAATATATATATTTTTTTTTGAATTATGTTGGAAAATGATCATTATATATATATATGTTGCTGTTAATACAAGTTATACTATTAGATTTGATTATAAAACATTTCTTATGTATTGAGTATATAGAAATGTAACAATTTCACAAATTGGAATTCAAAATTGAACATAGGAAAGCACATAAGGAAAGTTGTTCGAACTATTTCCAATAAAAGAAATCTATTAGTAACTAGATTTTCAGCATATTATATAGCTAATTCATTTTATAATATATCATATGTTATGATTATGCCTTTTTATCGTCGAATATATTATCTTAATGCAGATAGATAACAAACAAAGACTATTTATTTACTATCAAACGATTAAAAGTTCTATGCATAGTTTATTAAACAAATTGTTCAATAAAATAAAATTTTCTTTTTTATTTCGAATTGTTCTCTATTTAATTACTATATATTCTTTGTCAATAAATAATATTTATCTTATTTTATTTGAAATTAAAACTATAACAAAAAAAAAAAAAATTAAAGTCAATCTTAAATAGATAAAAGTATTTCAATTCGTTTTTAATTTATGTTAACAAAGTATTTATTTTGATAATAATAAATGAGATGAATTTTTATTGAGTTCATCGATACTTTTGCAATATGAATTGTTAAATCTAAATAAATCGAATCATTTTCTAGGAAGATCTTTTGCTAGTGGTATAACTAAATAAAGTTGAATAGGAAAAATTAAAAAAGCATAAAATATTCTTAATAATTTTTGTTTTTATCTAAAAAAAGTTAACTTATGAAATTAATTTTCTTTGAAAAATTCAATTTTAAAATAGATTAAATATTTTCATCAATCAATTTGTGATTTTTGTCGCAAACGATATATTCATTTTCATAATCGATTAATTTTTCTATAAAATAAATTCAAATAGATTTTTCGTTTGAAATTTTAAATAATAAATGATCAATAGAAGTCTTTTTATTAAAATAATTTGAAAAATAAATTTCTTCATCTTCGATATATAAATTGACTGATAATAATATTTATGTGGAATAATGATATATCTTTTATTGAAATAATTTAAGAGACAAATATTCGATAATATATATATATTTATATAACAAATAGATATAAGAACATAGTAACTAATCTAAATGATTTATTTAATTTAAATATGAAAGATCGATATTATTTTAGAATTATTTTTTATTCTATCTCGAAAGTATTTTGACGAGAAACATTTTTTATCCACAATTGTGCTCGAAACATAATCGATATAATTGATTCTTTCGAGAAAGACCATCAATCTTATATTGATGAACAAAATAATTAATCATCATTTTATTGTAACAAAAACAAAATGAACAATAACTCATTAATTGATTTATTTTGTGTTTTCTTTTTAAATTTAATTTGGAGATTAATTTTTTACAAAAATCTACTCTTGTAAATCATTTGTAACACGAAATTAATTCTTGGAAATTCTCATTTGATTTTAATTTATTTATATAGTTCGACGAATATAAGTAAAATGAGGTTTGATCATCGAAAAACATAAAATTTGTTTTTTTTTGCATTCTTATGTATTCATTTTATACGACAGAACAAAATCAATTCGAAAGTTGATTAAAATACTGTTGATAGAAGAATCGATTTTTTTTTCTCTCTTTTAACCTTGAAATATGAGTCAACAAACTCAAAATAAGTAAATCAATAAGTTTTATATTATTTCGACAAAAGTCTAAAAGAAAAATCTACGTGAACACGTAGAAATGGCATTTGCTTGTACTCGTCCAAAAACGAAAGATGATCTTTATCGAAATACTGAATTAGAAAAACGAATAAATCAATCATCATCGGAGAATATCGATTTATCTAATATGAATTTAACAGATCAAGATATTCCAATTATTATAAAAAAAGGCATTAAAAAGAAAAAACCTAGATCTCTATCGTTATCAACCAACAAAATAACAGCTGATGGTATTCAAATGCTGGTCGATGTTATTAAAACAAATAAATATCTAACACATATTTTTCTATCATCAAATCCTATTGGAGATGAAGGAATAAAATATATTGTAGAATTAATTCGAAATAATCAAAATCTTCATCATTTATCTTTAAATGATACTGGAATAACAGATGATGGAATCAGAATGATAACTGATGT